CTCTCTGAGAAGGTGAACTAAACTTTATCCTGCTATAATGTACATAGTTTGTGGTCTGATTGTTTTATTATTCACCAGCGCCAAAGGACGGTGTACCGACTGACCCTGGTGAAAGAGTGGAACACTGAAGAACTAGAGGCATATGCATCACTGGTGTCCAAGGGCGTTCCAGACTTTATTGAGATTAAGGTTAATTGCAATGTTACATGAGGTATTCGTTGTACAGGGAGGCTCAAAGAGTAGTGGAAAGTGGTTTGACTATTGTGTACGTAGACGCCTGACTAGGCATAGCAGAATCTGGATAAATAAACAAGATTTTGTCTTGTCGATATACCACTTATGAAGTACACTATGCCCCTTGTAGGGTGACCTACTGTGGTTATTCCAAAGCATCCAATCTGACAATGTCCAACGTACCCTGGCACGAAGAGGTATACCTACTTAAATTGTTGAAATACATTGTGATGAGGGAATGCGAGCAAGTCTTGCATGTGCTTTGAACAGCTCTGTGCATGCATGCACATTGTTCTGTGTGACAGAGTCGGGTAATAAAAACTGTTCAATTTTGATGTCTAGCTAGCTACTTCACTTGATAATTTTCTTTCAGAACTGTTCTCTCTTGTTATGTTGCAACAGGTGGTGAATTTTGTACAAAGGTTTGCTGTCATGCTCCCTAACTACGAGGTTGCTTGTGAGCATGAACACTCAAACTGTGTTCTCATTGCACACAAGAAGGTATATTAGCTATGTTAGGTCTTTTGGCAGTGTTCTTGATTTGTGTAAAACTCAGGTTTTGTGCAATTCTCAGTTTAAAGTTGATGGAAGATGGCACACGTGGATAGACTTTGACAAATTCATTGAATTGGTGAGCCTCTAGTTGTGTATTTATTGGGAAGTATAATATTATACAGCTTTCTCTATAGTTTACTGCAATCCAAAATGCACAACACTATCATCCGCTGTTGAATTTATTGTGTTTTTGCAGAACAACGGCTTCATGAATTCTGGAAAGACACAGAAGTTCTCAGCAGTGGATTACATGGCATTGACTCCAGACTGGGCCGTATTTGGTCATACTCAACAGGGGTTTGACCCCAGTGAGACACGTTGGCATCGGAAGAAACCCAAGGAAGATAATGGAGGATGCTAGCCTATCTGTTTAGTGCTCAACTGCTATAATTGGTTAATTAAATCTTTCCATGGCTATCGATAACAGCCAGCGCAGCAGGCTTGTTTACGTACATCACGCGCATGCGTCTGCGATTGACTCGCCAATTATTATTGTGGGGTTACGATCATGATCGAGAACTGAAGAGCTGTAGTCCCAGTCGTCGTCGAGTATAGTTGTTTTCTGGTGAGTTTGGGACGTATCGCGGATCTGTAAAGTCGGAACCTACGGCTAGGTGTATGAATAGCTAGCCAATGCGGACTGCGTGTCAGTACGTAGCACTGTATATACTAACAGCGGGGCGGCGATCTGCGGGGCCATCAGTGAACCGGTATGTAGGGAGGTATTTTGACATGGAGTCCTTAGTGAACCAGTCCTTTGAGTGAGTTTTGTGACTATAGGGGGATGTGAGTGATGATACGTATGCCTACACTGCTGCACAACTTACAGCTGAGCTAGGGTTATTGTTCCCATGAAGGGGATAGTAGGGATGGCTTGAAGCACCAAAAAGGAACAGGAACATTACACAGCAAAGACACACAAAACTACATGACATCATCCCTATATCAATGGAACAAAGATATGGGGATGGTGTCATGTAGCTTTGTGTGTCTTGGCTGTGTAATGACCCCTTGCCAAGCAGTGCATCATTGATTCTTGATTAGAATAGTGAGCTTCATTTCTTGCACCGATCTGAGTTCCTCATTCTTGTCCGTGAGCTGTGGACTTCACTCTAAGCGTCAGTGTGAATGTGCATGAAAACTGAACAGCTCATGCTATAATTATACATAATTATGTAGAAAGAAAGAAAGAAAAAGAGAAAGAAAACAGGACTTCAGAAGGGCTACAATTAACACACATAACCATAAGGGTTTACTTGGGACTTGCAAAAACACGTGAGCTGATGCACGGTGGCAGTGAAATGACTGAGACGGTACGGACACAGGCATTATAAAAGTTATCAAAAGGTATCAAAATAATCTGCATATAAAAATAAACCATAAAACACGAACAAACATAATAATAATGAGGTGGCATGTGCTGCCAGGTGCTAACAACATGGTCCAGTATATGTGCCTTTCACCTCAAAAAGCTTTGCAATCCTATGCTCCTGTAGGTACTAATGCACCCGACAGCACATGCAGCCAAGTGCTGCCAAGCATTGCTCCCTAACACATGAGGACAGCACTTATTGAACACTGATAAATGTGCACATTGCATGAAGCATTGAAGCACTTGTAATAACCAGGACGGCCCATTTTGACATAGTCAATTATCTTCAGGAACATCAAACCTGTCTCACAGCAATTTAAAAAAGCCAGTGCTACAGTATGTCTCTGATGGTAATAGTGCAGCTACCAGACATGTGTTGCTATTGGTAGAATTTAGCCGCAGAAATGATCTTAGAGTTGTACTTCGGGTTGCGGGAATATTATATACACATGTATATATAATAATTATAGCAGGTGTCTTGCACACTTTCATGTAGATGCTACTGGTGAGTAATTCTGCCAGTCCATGAGTTACACGCTCCGTGTTATATCATGTGCTCTTGCTTGGACTTGTTATAATATAGCTGCAGACCCACAATGCAATATACACCACTTGTGCCTGTGCTGGTGCAAAATATTGCACACTCCCATGCCCTTAGTGGAGTTGTAATGTGGTTGCTGTGTCTCTGGGGAGTTTGCTTGTGCTAGATGACCGGTGCAAAATCCCTTGCTTCATTCTCCTTCGTGTCAGAGAAATTGTTTTTCTTTTTGTCCAGGACTGACTATTGTGTTATTCGTATGTATGGCAGCCCTATTGGAAGTTGAAGAAAACCTATCCTCACCAGGAGATGCATCAGGTACATTGAGAGATAATACAAGAATAAGTAGATACCATGGTAGAGTGCTCGCTTGTACACTGAAGTGTAGCAGGTTTCAATCCCACATAGGGCAGCTCTTCCGTTTTTACTTGGAGTAAAGAATTGTTCCCGACTGCTCTTCCCTTTTTACTTAAGGAAAGGAATTGTCCTGGGTGTATTTGACTTGTTTACTTTACTTTGCCTTTCTATATACCTCATTGTTGACACATTCCACCTTGTATGCAGGAGAAACTGAAAGCTGTATACATGCTCAATTGGAATCAACAACACAAAACTCAGGTGAATGGATACGTCACTCAGCCCACTCATCCACAAGAGAAGGTCAGTCAGTACAACCTCCGTATGATGCAAGTCCTAGGCAAAATAAACCTCGCGATGCTATCCTTGTTATTGATGATGATAAAAAGCGATTTCCTACAAGAAACGCCAATACTTCGAATGATGCAGTAGTTGATCAAAGCACGGAAAACAGTGCCGAACGTGAAGATAAAATTGAGACCAATCAACAAGTTGCACCACAGCAGTGCGTTAGTGGAGGAAGAGAGTCCTCTTCTCTTTGGATTGTTTTTTCACGCGCGAGAAATAGAGAGTATGTCCAGCTTTTTTTACGTAATAATCTTGGTGCCTTCATAAGTGATATAGAGGAGACCAAGTATGATCATACTCAAATGATAAAAAGTGCTGTAATACAGTTTTCAAGCAACGCTAGAGCGATAAGCGCCCTTCACATTCTGAGATGTAAGGAAGAATTCAGCTCAGTCCAATTGGTTATAGAATTGTGTAAGAGAATTCACGCAGATAATGAAAAATGCCTAGCAAAGCACGAGAATAAAATTGAGTGTTTAAAAGAGAAACTTTCACAACTCGCAACAAAGAAAGGTTATATTGACTTTGACAAGCATCAGCAAATATCTGAAGAAAGAAAAGCTTTGAATTTGAAGATTTCAGAATGCGAGCAACAGAGATATGAGTTTGAAATTTATGTAGAGAATCAACTAATTTGTCTCTCATGTAACATAGAGGTCTCAGTGTTAAATGCCATTGAAGCAAAAATGGTTCGTGAACGCAACCACCTTATATCGGCCCTTCCTATATATGCTCGGCGTTCAGAAATTGTTCAAACTGTGGTTAAAAGCCAAGTGACTGTGCTTGTTGGTGAAACTGGGTCTGGGAAGAGTACCCAGGTGGTTCAGTATCTGTATGATGCAGGGATGGCAGAGAATGGTGTCATAGTGTGTACCCAGCCTAGAAAGGTGGCAGCTATTACTCTCGCTAAGCATGTTAGCAAAGAGATGCATGTGAGCCTTGGCGAGGAACTAGGGTATAAGGTGGGTATGCATGAAAAGTGCTGTAAGAGAACCAAAATAATTTACATGACTGATCATATGCTTCTGAATGAATGCATTGCAGACCGTCAGCTTTCCAAGTATTCTTGTGTCTTAATTGATGAGGCTCACGAACGAAGCATAAACACAGATATGCTTCTGGCTTTTATTAAGCAGTGCCTACCATCGAGAAATGATTTGAAATTAGTCATAATGTCAGCCACAATTGAGCCTGAGCTGTTTGTTAAATATTTCGAGAAATGCGAAAGAGAGAATGATGTGGTGTCAACTATTAGAGTTTCAGGAAGAACCTTCCCAGTTGAGGTGGAGTATGACCCTCTCCACTCTAGAGTAGTACTTTCAGCAGATAGTGATTATGTGATGCGTGCGGTAGAGGTTGTGAGGACCATTCACAACAAACAACCACCAGGTGATATTCTAGTATTCCTGACGTGTGCACCTGAGATCGAGAGGGCTTGTAAAGAAGTCGAATACTACCTTCAGCATGAAGCTGTTGTACTACCGTTACATGGAAAATTACCTCCAGAGGAGCAACAGAAAGTGCTTGACGAAAGCATTGGTAGGAGGAAGGTCATTTTCTCCACAAATGTTGCCGAAACCTCTGTCACTATCCCTGGTGTGAAGTATGTCGTAGACACAGGTCTTTCAAAAGAAATGCATTTTGATTCTAGAAAAAATATGGATTGGCTCGAAGTTTGCAAGATCAGCAAGTGCTCGGAACAGAGAAAAGGAAGAGCCGGTCGAGTCAGTTCAGGTAAATGCTACCGTCTGTACACTGTGGATGATTATGTGTCCAAAATGCCAGACAGATCAAAGCCAGAAATTCTAAGGATCCAGTTATCGCACGTCGTTTGAAGATGCTTGAGTTTGGGCTGTACCGAATGTCCTCACATTTGATTTTGTAGAGCACCCAGACCGCAATGCTCTGGAGGCTGCTGTTGACACACTAAAATATGTAGGGGGCCATTGAAGACAATAACCTGACAAAGCTTGGCAGGAAAATGGCAGTCCTTCCTTTACAACCCCAGTTGTCTAAAGTATTATTGGATGGTGTAAGTAAAGGTGTAGGTACAGAGGCACTTATTTCAGTGGCCCTGTCCAACCTTTCAGGACAGGTGTTTTATCGTGGCGGAACAGATGAGATGAAAGAAGAGAGTGACAAGAAGAAACTCCAATTCTGTCACCCACTGGGTGACCAAATGACAAACCTTTCAGTTTACCAATGCTGGGAGGGAGTAGACAAAAGTCAACAGAGGAAGTGGTGCTTTGAACAGTTTGTCAATGCAAAGAGCATGCGTGTAGTGGAAGACATGGTGAAGGAGCTAAGACATATCTTGTTAAAAAAGCTGAAAATTACCCTGAGTTTAATCGTTGAATCGCTTGACGCTGCTGAGTGTTATTTGGGTAAACTCTATTTTGATGCTTTCGTCAACAATCTGGCTGTATATCTTGGGCACCAAAGGGCTGGATACATGACCACTGCCTTACCCGACAGTAGCAGCTCGTTTCTAATCTTTCCAGGATCTTCCCTCAATCATCTTGGTTGTACTCCGAAATATGTATTGTATGAGAAAACACTAAAAACATCACGCCAATTCCTTACACAGGTCATGTCTGTTAAACAAGAATGGATCGATGAAGCTGTGGCCACCGGAAGACTAACAGAGGATCCAGCAGTAACATATGCTAACCACATGGTCTTGCCCATACATGTTGTCTGTACTGGCCCACAAATTCTCAAGGAAATGAGGCTTAAACAAAATGAAGTTTTGGAGACTGTTTTAGTTAACACTGCAGGACCATGTACCGTAGCTCCAGTCTTTGATTTCTCTCCTGAACCGAAGCAATGGGGTGTTATCCGTGTCATTGCACAGAGGAAAGATCACGATGCTCTTCAGCTAGTTGTAGCTAGTACAGTTGGTGATATACAACAACAATACAAAGAGCAAACAAAAGAGTTTAGTCTTACCAATGAGCAAGACTGGACAAGAGCAGTTATTGGTGCAGGTGGCACGGTGCAGCAGATGATAATGCCATACCAATTTCGCTCGGTAATTGTTGTGAGTAATAGTGAAAGTGAATCACCTGAAAAAATTACAAGCTGTCTGCAGAAATATGGCAAAGTAAAGACAACAAAGATGATGAGAAATTATGCAAATGGACTTAGATTGTGTGTTACCTACAGCATTGCATCTGAAGCTAAGCGTGCCATCAAAGAGTTTGACTCTCCAACCGTACGCCTATACCCTCAGAAAGGGCAGCAGTTTACTCTGAGACTAGAGTGGGAGAGACGTGAGAGAGCAACCCATGCCTCTCTCTCATTTGACAGCCCTCAACACTGCAATACCGCATTCATGGAACTGGGGGTCTGTATAACCTACATGGGATTCAAAATCAAAATTTCCGTGTGATAAATATAGCCAGAACAAGCTGTTTATGTCTGGTAAAATACTATGCTCATGTGAGGAGCAATCGTTGAATGAAGAGATAAGACGTCGTGTCAGTCCAAACGTTTCCCTGAAGATGGGCTACAAACGATACGACGATGAATACCCTTATCTGCAACCCCATGGTCGAAAGAATCGTCGACCCCATGCTCAAAACGCGTATGTGCTACATTCTGAAGATGGCAGTGAGGAGGATGATAGTGAATCCAGTAGTGAAGAAGATGAGACTGTGAGCAGAAATCTTAAGAGATTTAAGGAGAGTATGGAGGCCTATATTAAAGCTATTATTCGTGCATATGTGGAGCAAGGGACATTTCGTGTTAACTTCGTAATTCCTCGTGAGTGGGACATACGTTTCAGAGCGTACGTTACATTTGATGACCCTGATGAGGGCTACAAGTTGCTGTATTCTGATTTGGACCAGGAATGCATAAATGAAAAGAAACTTTGCGTGAGTCCGAATCTTAAATGTTTGCTCTCTTTCAAGCAAGAAGTGTACACCCTAATCTTTGACGATCTCGACAAAGCAAGAAAAGATCTTCTTCGGCGCTACCCAAACCTTGTTTACATAAAAGTTATCCCACCGGACAAAAAAGTGCAGAATTTGACCAGAATTTCGCTGACTGCATATGATGTAAAGGTGTTTTCTGTGGCGCAGCGGGAGCTTTATGAAGCAGGTCAGCCATACACATTACACTGCAACACTACGGAGCTGCAAGAGTACATGCTGTGTCATGACTCTCACAAACACCTTCAAGACACTAAAGAAACTACATCTAACGTACATATGCCGTGATCCAAGTACAATGGTTATAAAAATCTATGGAGACGGCAAAAACAAAGAAGCTGCAAAAGCTGCAATTGAAGAGAAAGCGAAGCAATTATTCAGTGATGGAGCATTAGTTACAGATCTGGGTCTGAGAGGTGAGGGGAAGGCACCAGGACTCATGAAACACCTGGTAACTAGGTATGGATGCGATCTGAATGGTATGCTGGAATTTGAGGGTGTACGGAGAATCACTTTAAATCCACATTTACATCTTTTATCAGTGCTTGCCACGGAGAGAGGTCTTGATGCTATAAGGAAATGTGTCGAAGAAGTCTCAGTTTCTTCTCAGGTCGTTCAGAGAAAGATGGAAGGTGAATATGACTTTGAATGTGTTGCATGTTTTACCACCATCGATGAACCGAAGGAAATAGTGCGCTTGGAATGCTGTGGTCATGCATTCCACATTGACTGCATTGAAATTCAACTAAAGCCAGATACTCTTACGCTACCAGTAAGGTGTGCTAAGGAAGACTGTTCCGAGGAGTTTGTACTGAAAGACTTTGAAAATTTGCAGAAGAAACTGAAAACGTTCCGAATGCCAGTCCTCGTTTCTGCAGCTATACAAAGCTTTCTGGAGAAGAACACCGACGCCTACAAAAATTGCCCAACCCCAGACTGCAAGATGATCTACATGCAGACAGAGATTAGCAGAGAATTCATTTGCAGTAGCTGTTCAGTGAGCACATGTTCTAAATGCCATGAGCAATACCATGCCGGTCTAAGTTGTGATGTCTACAAGGCTAGCATGAAAAGTGATGAAGAGCTATTGGAGTGGATGAAGGAAGACCCAGATAATAGGAAAAAATGTCCAAAGTGTCATACCCCAATTGAGAAGAATGGAGGTTGCCTGCATATGACATGTAACTGTGGTGCCCATATTTGTTGGTTGTGTATGCAGTGTTTTAAAGGAGATCTGAATGCTACAATCACATGGGGGTCTTGTCCAGCTATTTGGCCTCAAACTCCACCTGCAAACATTCCACATGTTATCAACCCAGCCCCACCCGTTGTCAACCCAGCCCCGCCCGTTGTCAACCAAGCCCCACCCATTGTCAACCCAGCCCCACCTGTTGCCCAGAGGAACGCCAGGGATAATAGCTCATGCACTATCCTTTGAACAGCAACTGACAAGACCGGGAGTTTTAATAGTATGTGCAACCACTGTCCATATAATTATAGTAGTAGTGCTCAGTTATTTGGTATTTGATGTTGCGCTGCACGTTACGTTTTGCGAAACATGCAGCTTTCAGTCCGTGTTACTATTAATAGGACTGCTCTATAATAGCGTATAAAACACTCTTTACTCTTACGACTGTCAGTAAATACAAATATCCTGCATAGCATGCTACCAACCTGCAAATAAACCTTGATTTGGGGTATTAATCTTGAAAATGTTGTGTAGCTACTCCTTCAAAATGTATGGGCAATGTGCACATTCCAGGTTCTCACAAAAAGAGAGATTTGCTGGTGGGGATTATTGCTTTCAAGGGATGGTTTGTAGGTACGATATAGGGGTGGCATGAAAGAGGAAGGAGACAAGATAGGGATCGATACATGAAGCATGGTTAATGGCCAGATTGTGAGAATGCTTACACTCCCAAGCCAATGACACAATCCCACATTGTTGCCTGGTGTGCCACTTTTAAACTCTTCGTGTCCATCCATAATAATAGTATATAATAGTTAGTGTACAAGTGAAATTAATGAGTATTAATTTTATAGGGATGGTATGAAATCAAAGAACGTGACAGAACCTTGTTATAATAATAGTACAACGAAATAAACTGATAGTTCTTGCTCGTGTAAATTTGCCTCTCCACAAGCCTACTGTCTGCTATATAATGTGTCCGACTATTGGGAGGTTCGACTGTATGTATATATGCAGCAGTAATATACTGCACCCTTTGCCATGCATGCCTCCCTTTTTCCTATTATATAGAATGAATTTTTATACACATAAATGACAAACAATCTTTGCAACAGTTGGTAGGTGGAATAGCAACACGGTTTGACTGTACCATCCCTAGCTCTCTTCCATTTCACTGTCTCATATCTTCATAAGGGTTTGGCATGTGAAGACCAAACATCAGTAATATTTGGAGCGAAAACGCCTATCTAAGCCTTAAAAATGTGCCAGCTGGGCTCACAGGCTCTGGCCTAACTATACATAGCACCGAAGCCCAATGCTCTCACTTCACGCGAACTCTGCTATGCGATTGCGTGTCAATTCTTCATTAAACCCATGCACTATGTCATTATCAGAGCTAGTTGAAGTGCTATTTTTTATAGTCGACGGCTTGGTCGACGGATGTGTACACGGACATCAAGTGATGGTTTCTCTCCTGCCACACATCTCTAGCATGCACATTGTGACCATCCATTTTCTCCCCATGTACTCCAGCTACGTTCTGTATTACGATTCGTCGGGGCTCACCAGTTCAACGAACCGCCTGCACCTGGTTATGCAACCGGCTAATGCATGAACCACCCTTTTACTCACTGCTTTGGCTTTCTATACGCACACGGCCTTGGCTCTTACCCCTCTACAGCCATCTACCATGTCTATATACTTCATTAGCAATGACTGCTTTGGTAATTTAAGACTCTTGTGTTCTTTGGCAGTGCCTCTGCTTCTGCTGTTCATGTAATGGTCCACTGCGTCTAACATTAGCGATATTGTTGCTCCAACACCAACAACAAACAAGATTTGAACACTATAAGAAGACCCCGATATTTGCATGATTGCATCGATAGCTACCTGTGTGACCTGGTAATAGAAATGAGCAGTCAACACTCTGTTTTTAATGTACACTTTGTTCCCAATATTAATCTTTGGTTACAATTAGCTATCACTGCACATGCGCACTGAGGGGTTGAACTGTAGTAATGACTTGACTTTAGTATAGCATAACTATGTAGCTATTTAGGTAGGTAAAGTGATTAGATCCAAGCTGAACTATAGGCCATTAGGTGTGTTAAAATTTACACGGTACATTACTGCCATGCACACGTGTGGGCGGATTCAGTTTATTAGCTACAGGGATTTGGAAATACTCACACCGGCATTGCAAATGGTGCAGATTACTAGCACACAGGTAGCTATGTTTGCACACAATAGTTATCCCTGTATGGCCCCACCAATCAATTGTTGCATATCACACAACTATACATCATGCTCTACACAAAACAAGGTGGCAAAAGTGTTATAACACAAGTACCACAGAGTGTTCATTAATTTTAGCGACAGAAAAGTTTTCAGAAGGAGCTAGAGCCTGAGATAAGCACAGTCAGAGTCCAGCAGATTATATAGCTTTCTGAATAGACGGCTGAACTTTGGCCTCTGCTGAGGATCAGCCAGCCAGCATGATGTCATCATCTCCCACCTGCAACAGACTTGCAGCTGCTACAGTGGAATCTCACTAATACTAGCATTGGCTAACACCTAACAATTTTAGCAAATCAGAATTTGTGGAGAAAATGCCTGACCCGCTGAGTTTGGAAAACATCTCAATATTAAAGCAGCCGATGCCTTTGGCACATATGAACCCATGTATGTTTCTCATTATTAAAAAACTCACCCTGAAATGCAGCCTTCTCACTAACTAATCCAGCAACCTTTTCAAGTCCCTAGTGTGGCTGAAATAGCGAGCCCTAGTGTGGCTGAAACAGCAAGCCCTATTGTGGCTGAAATAGCAAGGTTCCAACTGCAGCAGTTCATCTATCATGGTCTGCATACTTAGTCTGACAAAGCCCCTCTCACTGCTAGCTATATAGCCAAAAACCCTCCCTTTAAAAGGTACATGCACCAAAAGCTGATTGGAAAAATAAATAACGAACCCTCTCCCTCCTCCCCCCTCCCCCAAAGCACTCATGGAAATTGTCTACGTCTTCAGTGGGAGGTCACACATACATTTCATTGGAGCAGGCAACATTGGAGGGTCTCTCAAGTCTGTGCCCAGAGCGAAGCTCAGAGAGCAGAATCATGGCTGGTACTCCAGTGTAGGGAATTCTACCACATGTGAACACCTCCCAACATGTCACTCCAAATGACCACTGGGGATCAAATGTTAGATCAGTCAATGCCGGATGCATGTACTAGCAAAAATTCATCAAGCCACTAACCACATCAGTGGTTTGATTGTAGATGTTGGTGTCAATACTCTCAGGAGCCATCCACCTGATGGGTACCTTCTCCCCACCCTCACTCCTGCTGTTATGGTAGTAGCTTGATCCATACATATCCTCCGCCAGTCCAAAATCTGCACTTTTACTGCTCCATTATCAATCCTGTATCCAATAAACAGCATGGCTAGTTAAACAACCCCGAGTTGTTGCGTTACAAAATCAAGCAAAAAATATCTATTCAACCAGAAATTTTATTAACAACTTAGAACACGCGTGTCTGGCCCTTATTTTTGTGGTGTCAGTAACAAAAATAAACTTTGTCTCTCTATCTGCAAGTTTGTATGTATGTCAAAAGCAGTTGCTTTAACACATGGTGTATATACACACATATTAAATGATAGCATGTGGAAGCTACTCACATGCAGTTCCTGGCTGCCAGGTCACGGTGGACAAACCTCTTCATGACCAGGTAGCTCATTCCTTTAGCAATCTGGTGACACATGTCCATACACTTCTTTCTAGCATTAAAAATCTGTCAACGATACCACATTTTTTTATCTGCGTAAACTTTAGTCAGCTAGGTATAATGAATTTTAGCAAATTTGAATTTTGTGGAGAACACTTGGACAAATGCCTGAACCACTGAGTTTGCATTAAAAAATATTTGTGGTTGCCTTTGAAACTGCGTATGTGTCCTTCTGTAGCCTATGTACAGTAGAGTTATAAAAAAATTCACCATAATTATAAAAGGTTTTTATAGGCTGGCTTATACGAGTGCATTTCTCTAAAGCTCTGATTATGTTCATACTTCACTCTCGGCAGCTCCATGAGTGAAGTGGAGATTTTCCCTGTTTTGAGTGACAAACTCCAATACGCTGCCACCAGACATAAACGGCATAATGAGTAGGGGCACTTCTCCATCAAGACACATCCCAATCAGCGACATCACATTGGGGTGGTCAAATGATAGCATCATTATTACTTCCTTCAGAAGTTTTTCCCTGTTAGCTACGGATAACAGGGCTGGAAATTGTTCAAAAAAGCATAAACAAAACAGCTTGTGTGTTAAAACTAATATACCTTTGCCAGTCTTAACAGCAACCAATTCGTTTCCGTTTATGTATCCACGATACACAAGACCTGACTCGCCTGCAGTTGATGTTAAATCATTATGTACAGTTTAAGCCCATGCTGCAACTGGTAGAGGACTCTGTCTAGAAAGCAGATTGGCTGACTTTTTTTAATTTTGAGTCCCACACAGGGCAGCTCTTTTTCCTGTTATCCTAGGTTTGGTTTAGGGTCGACACCCAGTGATTCATGCAATAGCATTATGCTTACTGGGGTTTACTAGGAATTGTATGATGACTGAGAGTAAGATCAAAGGAATTCCAGCTAGTCCAAACAACGTACACGCGTAGTGAGCGCTTCCTGCTGAGTTTACGGGTAGTTATACCATAAAGAGGCCATATTATTTCCCCATACTTTAGCTGTATGTCAACTCATTTGCATAAACCACAATGGGTATAATTATGGTAGTTATACGATAGTAGGAAATTGGCCGCGTGTTATGCAATTAGGGGCTTTTACACTCTGTGTGCTGCTGTTTCTTTACCAGAAGGGAGTGTTTTCAGGCTGGAATGGCCAGAAACTGCTGTAGTATATACGCTGTCTGAAAACTAGCTAAAAACTGCTTCCCGACGCGTAGGCTCCCGTAGACTGGAACAGTATGTGGCTTTCAGCTTTCTTGCTACTGCAACAGGCTGCATTCGAGAGCGCTGGGTATAGCGGGAGAGAAAGCGAGCCAAAGCGGCAGCTACAAAACTCGTGTGGAGTCCAGCAACGAAAAGGTGGCGTACCTGTAACGTTGAACTCTCGAAAAAATGTCCATGGCTTCTGCACAACCGCCCAGCTTGACCAAACTAAAGCGCTTATTGCAGCTGTCTCTCCGCTCCCGATCGATCGCTAGCTAGCTCCGTACACTCTCGAGGGTACCGGGTGTGCGTTAAAAAGAGGACGTTTTAAAAGCTTTTGCGCAATCTCATTGGTCAGAGCCTTACCGCGGGATGTCATCATACAAAGACGTTATACGATGGCTTGTGGTTTACTGGTTGTACACTCGTGGCTTCAGTTTTGATAGACCACTCGGGCTACGCCCTCGTACCCTATCAAAACTGGCCACTCGTGTAAAACCAGTAAACCACGCGCCGCCATCGTATAACCTATACATAGTCCATTTCTCGAATAACTTCATTACGTTTTACTCTGTTGCGCAGTACGTGGGTGTTATTTTGTAGCACTTAAAGTTCCCGTTCCTTTAGTCTTAGTTTCGTACAAATCCAATGCATAGTGTTTGTGACATTAGAAAAGTCCTCCTTTTCAATGTACTGTGGTAAAGTGCATTCTCAACTTGAACATACTATATAATAGAAAGTTTTATAGTGCATGCCACACAGCAGAGAGGTCCTCTCTTTATAAACTATACCTTGACCAATGACTTTACTCAGATGTATGCGTTGTTTCTCATAGAGCATGTTCTTTGTGTGTAGCTCCTCCTGTAGTTGATGGACCAGATCCACTGGTGGGGGTGGAGGAGACGACACTTCAGGTAGGGGACTTGTTGTAGCCAGCTCACTGAAATCAGTTAAGTTGAGTACATACTTTGCATATCATGTTAGATGCTGCTCAACCTGACGAATACAGACTTATCTATCCTATCAACCAATTCTAAGTAGCCTAGTCCATACAAAATCTAAGAATAATCTGGATAATTAAGTGAATGTGTCTGTGCATTAGGGCTAAATTTCGAAATGTTCCGACCCCGGCGAAAAATGCATTTACGTTTACGTTATTAGTAACATATAAAATTTAGCTCTCATATAATGCTACATTCCTTTTAAGGTCCCCTTCTGAGTTTCAGGGCTCACTTTAGCGAGCTTTTGATTAGTGCATTTCATATTCCACTGTAGTATGATAAGACCAATAAACTTACTATCCAGCGCGGTCTCCTTCCTTTCGTTTTCTTTTCTTCAAAACAAATAACAGTACTACAATACACACCACAGATAGAGTCACTCCAACAACTGATGCAGATGTAGCAATTGCTGCAACTGTAGTAACTTCTGCTGTGTTTGTTGTGTCTCTGTTTGTGGTAGTACCCACTTGCTCTGTGTCAGGCATTGCTAGGTGAACATAAGCAACAGTCATTGGGAAAACACAAAGGTGTGCATGGTTACAGCAAATAATGTACACAAAGAATTCTTTTAAAAAGATATAGGGATCAAGTCATGTACTTTAGTGTGTGTTTGATGCTTTGAGCCATCCCTATGACTCGTTTTTATTTCAGGCTTTTTCATACTACCCTGACATAAAAGACTAAAATAAGCCTCTTCTAACAGAAAAACACTTTACACTTACAATCATCAATAATGACCACCTCTGCAGTTGTTGAGCCGAGAGCAATGAAAAAGTGTGTATTAATTGTTCTTGTGAGATTCAGAGAAAATGTCTCATTTTGTTCGTTCACCAGATCTGCTGTGATCTTCACATTCACACAACGTCGGCTCTCACAGGGAGAAAATGTCACAGTCTCATTCACTGTTTCATAGTCTGTGAAACTGTCTGCATTGTGTTGCAATAATCAATGTGGATAAAGCAGATTAAAAAAGATGAAGCATCCCAGTGCAAGAATGCAATTAAGTTCTGTTTTAAGTACCATTTTTAACCCTCGGCGCACATGCGCAGCGAGGGTTACAGTAGTTATCCTCGGCGCGCATGCGCAGCGAGGGTACTGTAGTTGGGTTTGTCTGTGTGTGTGTGTGTGTGTGTCTGTTACTCTACATCTCACGTCTCGAGTGTTCGTTCGTCCCAGAAACGATACATCTACCCAACGGGCGACGAAGGTCAGAAAGTATGTGGGGTTTTCTCTGAAAATGCTCCGTTGCAAAGCTAGAGCGCGAAAAAGCTAATATGCAAATACGCAACGGACGAGATGGCTTACCGCGGTCGTGCTCTGCGTACTTCGGAAGCACCAGAAGATGCAACGCAGGGCGTGTATCGCCTCTCGCATGCTATCTAGTAGTGTAGTTAGCCCGCGTCAGACTCTGCGCGAGCTGGCAAGAGACCACGAGTAACAGCTAAAACTAAACCCAGCCCACAATTAGTGGTACGGCGCATGCGTTTACTTACGCGTGCGCGTCACAGTGCGCCGAGGGTTTGCACTTCAGTGCTTTTCATTACCCTCTGCGCGCATGCGCAGCGAAGGTACTGTAGTTGGGTTTGTCTGTCTGTCTGTTACTCTCAATCTCACCTCTGTGATGTCTGTTCGTCTCACAAACGATGCACGTACTCAACGGGCAATGAAGGTCAGAAATTTCGAACAGTGTTTCGCTGAAAACTGCCCCGTTGCAAAGCTAGAGCGCTCCACTTGTACGGCTAAGCGTAGTCGGCATTTTTAATCGCTAGCGGAAAATGCGCAATGCGCTTAAATTTAGCACAGGCTCGACCGGGTCCGTTCGCTCTGTGTATCTTGAAGGAAACAAGAAGTCACAACGAAGGGCGTGTATCGACTCTCGCATGCTATCTACTATCTGTAGCTAGCCCGTGTCAGACTCTCTGCGAGCTACTAGCGGGAGACCAGCATAAAAAGCCCAGCCATCAATAGCTGGGTACGCGCACATGCGCAGTTCGCCGAGGGTTTGCACTTCAGTGCTTTTTCATTGGGTTTGTGTGTCTGTCTGTCTGTCTGTCTGTTACTCTCAATCTCACTTCACGGGTGTTTGTTCGTCTCACAAAGGATACGACCTACTTAACGGGCAATGAAGGTCAGAAATTTCGAACGGTTTTCTCTGAAAATGCTCCGTTGCAAAGCTAGAGCGCATCCGGCATTGTACGGCTAATGTCGGTAGACGCCATTTTATCGCTCCGGAAAATGCGCATGCGCTTATATTCAGCACAGGCTTACTGTATATACCTCGACCGGGTCCGCTTGCTCTGTGTATCTTGAAGGCACAATAAGGCACAACGAATGGCGTGTATCGACTCTCGCATGCTATCTATTGCTGTAGCTAGCCCGTGTCAGACTCTCTGCGAGCTACTAGCGGGAGACCGCGAGTAAACGCACACTGAATAGCCCAGCCCATCAATTAGCGGTACCGCGCATTTGCAGTTCGCCGAGGGTTTGCACTTTAGTGCTTTTCATTGGGTCTGTCTGTCTGTCTGTCTGTCAGTCTGTCTGTTACTCTTCATCTCACTTCTCGAGTGTTCTTTCGTCTCACAAAGGATACCACCTACTGAACGGGCAATGAAGGTCAGAAATTTCGAACGGTTTTCTCTGAAAACGCTCCGTTGCAAAGCTAGAGCGCTTCCACCATTGTACGGCTGATGCGTAGTCGGCCATTTTTATCGCTGCGGAAAATGCGCATGCGCTTATATTAGCACAGGACCGGGTCTGCTTGCTCTGTGTATTTTGAAGGCACAAGAAGTCACAACGAAGGGCGTGTATCGACTGCCGCATGCTATCTACTACTGTAGCTAGCCCGTATCAGACTCTATATACTAGCGGGAGACCGCGAGTAATCGCATACTAATATACCGCGCATGCGCGCAGTTCGCCGAGGGTTTGCACTTTAGTGCTTTTCATCTTAATTAATCTCGTCAGTACCAACGCAAACCTCGCACTCGTATATTCCCCGACTGAAATACTCTGTATCCACTTCGATTACGCTGTCAATGATAGTGAAGATCTCGTCCAAGTCTCCAGTTATGCTAGCCCTAGGACTGTCGACCATTTCGGGGATTTGCGGAGATCGTGCAGCCAGATGAGTGTGGTCCAAGTCGTAGTAACTATATTTGTACCACCGAACAGCACCTCCGGGAACGTTCCGGAGCCATGGACCGCAGTCAAGGACGGCAGTAACACCTTCCTGTATGACAGCTCCCTGCTCCGCTGCCGTTATCGCAATCCTGACGGTTTCCCCTGTGCGCGCGGCAAACTTGAGTAGCTCAGGATTCTGTCGCAGACTCGTGTTTCGCAGCTCTTCTCCGGAGAGGACCTTGAGCACGCTGTTTTCTCCGCTTGCCGCGTCAATCACGCAAAACAAGTACGACATAAGGAGAAAACATGCCTGTGCCATTTTGCTGAGAGACCCGGTCGATTGTAAGTCGAATCACCACGTTTTATTTGTCCGGCGGTGCGCGCCTGCGGTGCGGACCGCGAACGACGGTCGAGGCACAGGATTTCTCACAACGAACAACCGCTGCTGAACCAATTTCACTCATGCACACGGCGATTTTCGGCCGCGAGCAGGGTAATTGCGAGCGGAGAAGCGAGCTAACATCTAGTGGTCGGGTCAACGGCGCGATTTTTCTATATGTCACCGTAGATACGTCGTCCACGCGCTTCTTTTCATCCGAAAAAACAATTCAAATTTTTACACCGTATAGATACTTCCTAGTGTATTATAACCGAGGAAGCCAACACCACACTTTCTCGCGATGGATCGGTCTAGAGACAATAGGCCCTTCGTACGTCGACGAGAAAGGGAAAGAGCCGCCCGTGCCAGGAGACCTTTGAGAAAAGAGACGGATCGTCTTTTCGACGGGGCGACTGCTACCCCCCCCGTGATAGGGAGGGAACGGGCAAAATCCGGACAACGCCTGGGCCAACGAAAAACACGCGGAAGTAAAGGAAGTTTACGACTAGCGAGAAGACGCAAACAAGACGCCTACTACGTGACTGGGAATCAGAGGAAATGTCCCTCAAACACGGCAAGGCTCCAACAGAATCGCGGAGCTATCAGGACAAGGCGAATTGCAGCGAGGTCTGCGAGGTATGAGATGTGGTCTGCATACAGTTATCCACACAACAGGACTTTTATTCAAACAGTTTTTTTTTGCGCATGCCACAGACATCGCCTCCCGACGCCCAAAATTAGCAGTGCAGTCACCTACTAGTATTTCGCGCGCATTGGACGTAGAGTCAGTGCCCTACGCGGTTGTAGTTTACGGACGGTTCGGTGACGTGTCTATACGTAGTCTCGCACGTGTCGTGCAAAGATTCAGACCCTCACGTGCTCCACGCCGAAATTTAAAACCCTGACAGTTCTACTATGTCAATGATCCGGATGTATTGAGTAATGTTAATGAACCTGTAACACTGCCACGGATAGCTTTATCTTCGCTTTGCTGTCTAATTTTATTTACTTTTGCATTGGCAATAGCTACCCATTGGCTCTTCTTCCTTCTGCGTTCTGTGTGAAATGTGAGTCATTAGTAATAAGATTCTTGTGATGCTTTTGCCAGCGGACCCCATTGGCCATCGGCATGGCGGAGAGGAGCTACATGTCCTTGCTGTAAGAATGTTCGAGTACTTTTAGCTGAGCCCCTTTGTATGAGCACTATAGGGGAAGTAACTGACAGTAGGAAGGTTTCGGGACATTACCATGTAATCCCACCAGCGAATACACTACTTCGATTCGGCCACTACAGAGGACCGGACATGTCATAATTCACTTTGTAACTGCCTTAACATTGATCTAAAGAATGCTGCAATTACTATACACATCTTGAAAGAAGTTAGGGACCTCTTCTTTCCCTTAGTGCCAGAGTCCCTTACATGAGACGGCTTCCCCAACCACTTTGATATTTTAATAGCACTGACTGTTTTATTGAATGATGCATAACGACAGTCAATCAATATCAAAACGGGACACCCAATAGCAATCACAGTTTACCTGTGAAATCTACACCCACATTCTAACACTAGTTACTTTCATTAACCATCGCTGTGCGCTTTGCGCAGGGAAGGGTTATTGCAGTCGGTTCTTGCCCCTCTTGTGGGGTGTGTGTGTGTGTTCGTGTGACTTTATGATAGAGTAGAGAAAGGCGAGATAGGGCTTAAGGACGTAGAAAGTTTTGGGGGGAGAGCAGGACTGGGAGGGCTTTTGTCTGCATCCGCCCGGCGCACAGCAGCCCAAACATCATGCTCGGTCGTAGACTCGGGAATTACTACGCTCTTCAGCACCACCTTGGCGCGATAGGAGTTGTCACTAACCCTATATTTTGTAGTTCGGATGTATCG